GTGTCAGTATTGACTCCTGTGGAGAAACAGCATGTGCCTAAAGGAAAATAGTTCAGGATCTTTCAGAATCAGCCGGAAGAAGTACACCTCTGCTATGTAAATTGGGAGGGAGGGAATTGCTGTTGCATAGATGAGAAAAAGGGAGACTTGGGAGAAGTGGCAAAGGGAGATGGAGAAGAGTAGGTGAGAGGATGATCATTTCAGCTTAATATTAAACTAATAAAAAATTTGATATGTTTCTTCTTTTTCTTTTCTTTTTTTTTTTTTAATTGAGGCAGAGTCTTGCTCTGTCACCCAGGCTGGAGTGCAGTGGTGCAATCTCGGCTCACTGCAAGCTCTGCCTCCCGGATTCATACCATTCTCCTGCCTCAGCCTCCCCTGCAGCTGGGACTACAGGCGCATGCCGCCATGCCTGGCTAATTTTTTTGTATTTTTAGCGGAGACGGGATTTCACCATGTTAACCAGGATGGTCTCAATCTCCTGACCTCATGATCTGCCCACCTCAGCCTCCCACAGTGCTGGGATTACAGGCGTGAGCCACCGCACCTGGCCGATACGTTATGTTTTAATGCAAAGTATCTTCTAATTTCCCTTGTGATTTCATCTTTAGCCAGTTGGTTATTTAGGAGTATATTATTTATTCAAATATTTGTGAATTCCTCAAATTTCCTCATATTATTGGTTTCTTATCTCCTTGCATTGTAGTCTGAGATCACACATCGAATGACTGAAATTATTTTACATTTTCTGAAACTTGTTTTATGGTCTAACACGTGATCTGTCCTGGGCTGTTCTGTGAGCACCTGAGAAGAATATGTATTCTGCAGTTGTTGAATGTTCTGTGTATCTGTCAGGACTCATTAATTGATGCTGTTGTTCAAGTCTGCTGTTTTCTTATTTTGTCTAGTGTCTCCTCCATTATTGAAAGCGGGTATTAAAGTCTCCAACTTGTTGAATTGCCTTTCTGTCTTCAATTCTGTTAGCTTTGCTTCATGTATTCTGGACCTCTGTTGTTAGGTATATCTATATTTATAACTGTTATATCTTCATAATAGATTCACCCTTTCATCGTTGGAAAATGTCCTCTGTAGTAGCAGCGTTCATTTTAAAGTCTGTTTTGTCTGTTGTTAGTATAGCCACTGTAGCTCTCTTTTGGTTACAATTTGTGTGGTATATCTTTTTCCATCCTTTTACTTTCCACTTAATTGTGTCCCTTGCAGAAAGCATATAATTGGATTATGTTTTGTTTTTTCTGGTTTTTTGTTTTTTTGAGACAGAGTCTCGCTCTGTCACCCAGGCTGGAGTGCAGTGGTGCAATCTCGGCTCACTGCAACCTCCACCTCCTGGGTTCAAGCTCTTCTCCTGCCTCAGCCTCCCAAGTAGCTGGGCCTACAGATACCCGCCACCAGACCTGGCTTATTTTTTTTTTTTTTTTTGTATTTTTAGTAGAGACAGGGTTTCACTACATTGACCAGGCTGGTCTTAGAA